AGAGTATTGGACATGTGACATGAATGTCTAGTTTGGGGGACCAGCATGAGATGTATGGTCGAAGAACCAAAGGAGTTCTTCATCTTCCCTTGGAGCACAAGGTTTTCGTTGAAGATCTTGGCTTCTGGGCTGCTGACTTTGGTCAGGAACGGCACCCTTGCGCCCATCAAACCATGGCACCAGCGTCTATATCGTCTATCCCCAAACCAGGTTCTAGAGTGCTCTAGACTCTATAAAGGTACCTCATCCCAGTTCTGCGGAAATGCTTGTGGGTCCTTTCAGTGTCCGGTCAAGCAGGCCGTAATCAGAAACCTCTTGTTCCATACCGCTCCATCTATTTCCCACATGTACAATGTACAGGAAGCTAATTACTAGGGGCTCCTGGCATCGCTACACGCCACTAGGGGCTCCTGGCCTTACTACTAGGAACAAGAAGCTACTAGGCGCTCCTAGGAACACAGCCCTTCCCAGTCTTGGGACCTCGTTCTCGACGTCCGTCTGCCGTCGACCCCGCCTGAATGGGGGCCTCTTTCGGGCGGCCCGGAGGTGGTTGTGGAGGACTTTTGCCCATCTGGTAAGTCTCCACCATCCCTGGGAAGAGCGGAGCAAGTCGAGTCGCAACTGAGGGAGAGGGACGACCGAACCCGGCAGCCCCACATCTGCAAAGACAGATCTCTTGGCTCCTGTGGTTTTGGTGTTTTGACCCATCATCCAGGCCTATCTACGTTTTGCATGTTCACTGAGACCTCCTTGACGAGCCTAAATATATATATATATATATGGCTATTTACCAGGACCTTCAAAGTGACCTCTTTGGAATCTGTAAGTGACCCCTTCAGGGACTAAGTGACCTCATTCTGGGATCTCAAAAAGGTCACTTTGAAGGTCCTGGTAAGTTATTGTTCTTGGAAAGCGTATGCCACAAAGCACCAGGAGATTCGAGAGTTGTTTCACCACTCCTGGACTAACTATAGCTCTGAAGTCTGACGACTATGGGACAATCCCAGTATCCGTCAGCCTGGACACGTCAAGCACTCCGTGTCCGCCCAAAACCAAAAGGCCCATGGGGACAGGGACCGGTCTTCATATCGATCCAGTGGGCCTATTACATCCTATTTATATACCTGCCTGGTCGGTGCTGCAAACGCCAGTCATCCATTCAAAGCAACATAAAGCAACATAGGTAGCACCTGTCTTCGTGTTCTCTTCTCTCCCTTCGCTTGGATTCCTCACGCTGGGATCCTAAAGCCGCCCCACAGACAAAGCCAAGCGAGCGGCGGTCGAGGTCTGATGTGCCGGAACTGGCCCTGCGAGGTCGGAGGTGCCGAAAGTGGTCGTGCTTCGAACGTGGCGGCGGCGGGAGAGGTTTGCAGTACTCCAGACCAGTGCTCCAGGAGAGGTTTAGCCATGCCGGATGATCGCGGGATTTTCTGTTTTAGATCGTCAACGGATTGGGGCAGGGGTGCACGAGAAAGGGCAGGTCACATGCGAGCAGGTCATGCTAATCGAATCTTTTTGAAGACTCCTCGTGCTTCTCTGGTTTCTCTGCTGGATAAATGGCAATCCCACCAATTTCTGGGGAAAACATCTGCAACACCGGGTAAGGTGGCTTGTCCTGGCTCACAAGAATAAGCTGCAGGTGCTTTTGCTGCATCCCCGTGCTAGGTTCAGTAGCAACATGTCGCAACCAATTCAATAACGTTGTAAAGGACATTATATAACCGTTCAAACGTTCGGATTGCCAATATCAACCGCCGTGCCCAAGCAATTCATGTCGTGTTTCAACCGAAGCACCCCCAACAGGTCCCGTGTTCTACCTGGCTGGGTGTTGATACGCTGCAAGTCGTCGCAAACGCCCAACAGGTCCGGTCTGCCTTCCTTGCCTTCCTACCCGGCTGAGGTCCAACTGTAAGGAACAGTCAGACGTGCCAGACGACTCCAAGAAGTATATCATTCCCAGACACGACACATGGGAGCTGCCATTGACTACCGATCAGGCCAGGGGTGGTAGTCCTAAGGGGTCTTCCTGGGATGGCATGTTCTGGCAGTCCCAGACAGGTCGTGTCTGGCAGTGTCCATTTCTGTGCCAACATCGAACTGGAGAAGTTCGGAAGTTCCAGCTATCTCAGGCTTGGACGCACTGGGCTGCTTTGGCCTCTGTGCCTGCGGTGTGGTGCGTCGACGCAGGCAAGAACAAGCGCCCGATTTGGTGGCACGAGCGAAGAAGACAAACTGACTGACGTGACCACAAGAGAATTCGATAGAACAAGGGCCCACAAAAGACATGCCAGGTTCCCAGTGACCGAGCTTGATCCAGTGGTTTCAGGTCACTGGAAAGGTTCTGGTGGACAACCTTTGACTAATTACTTGATTATACTATACTATTATATCTTCCAGTCGGTTCTATTCGGGAATAATGTGATTGTTTTGCTGTGGGTTCCACAGTCCATCCATTAGCGCCTTCGCTTCGTCCATCCATGCACCCCCCTTCAGGTCCACTGGCATCCGACTTTATTTTCATGCGAAGATGGCAGGCGCGGTCGCTTGGCGGCTGGAAAATCTCTCAAAGACCAAGCGATCGCCAGAAAAGCAATGAACAATAACTACAATTCGTAGATATTTGTAGGTGGCGACATGGGTGCTTGCATGGAGTGCAAGGAGCCAACAGGAGAACCACATTTGGAGCCTGCAAAGCTCCAAGGTCAAATCGATGCGAAACATTATGTTGCCGATCAACCGGTCAATTTTGAGAGATCGACTTGAATCTGTTCGCCGATCCTTTCCTCCATAGCTTGTGTAAGGGCATCCCTACTAGTAACAAGAAGCTAGTAGGGGCTCCTGAGGACGCTACTAGGGGCTCCTGGCCATACTACTAGTAACAATAATTCAATTAGAATTAGAATATATTAGAATTAGATACGGATTAGTTATTCGATGTTATTCGCACAAAAGCGGAGCCTGGGGGAAAGAGGGTCCCGCCATGGGGCAGTGGTGTTGCGTACGAGTCCACTCGAAGGTCTGTCGTGCATCAGCTTTTCTTGGTGCTTGGACCTGGCACAGTCCCGACCCCGTAGCAAAAAACATCAAAAAACATGTATCAAGCATTGCCAAGGGCCATGGCTGGTTTAGCAAACCAAACGTGAGGCCAAAGACGTCCAACAAATGGATCTCCCTCAACCCTGTGCTCCAAATGGGGTTGATTTAATCATGTCCAACAAGGACAACTCACCAGCATTGTAGTGGTGAATCACACTGCTACACATACCTGTAGAATGTAGATACTGTATTGATTCAAAAGCTATTCTCAGCACCTTTCTTAGCACCTTCTGCTTGGGACTGCCTGGCTGCACTACCTCATAACCTTACACGTCACTTCTATACACTTCTAATAATATGCACATATGAAACAGTCCTTACCGCGCTGTGTCTGAAGAAAACTCGCTTTCGGAGCACGATCGCTTTCCCTGCTCGGAATCCTGTGGCTCTTGCCACACCAGCAGCCCAACTTGCCCTAGCAGTTGGGGGTCCGAGCAAAAAGTTGGCGAATGGAGGGACCAGGGACTGAAGGAATGATCGGACGATATCGAACGTCATCTCCACGGAATCCTTTACAAAACGGGTCATTCCCTCAAATCCCCATCCCATCAACTGCTTTGTTAGGCCTGTGCTTCGGCAGGCCAGGCATACAAGCAGCTCTGCTGGGATTGACGATGATTGAATGCAGCCCAGAGAATCAACCAAGTCGTTTGTGTTTTCAACCACTTTCAATCAAGTAGATGGCCGTTTTCATACTGAGATCTGGGAGAAAGGCAAAGCAAAAGAACACCCTGATGGGGGTGGCTCTCTGAAGGAGCCTCGTGCGGGTTCAGCATGTCAGCCCTTTCCGACTATCCAATCCCAAGGCTCCAAGTAACACCGATGTGAGTGGCAAAAGAATATAAACAAAACCCCCACATGGACCCTGGTCATGGGATGTCATGTTTTCCACTGACGTGGCTTTATTTGAGGGCATCCAATTTCTGAGCCCTAGGGCCTAGGGCTTCCGGATGCCCTAGCCATTTTCAATCGTTTGGCAGGGCAAGCCTCTCACTCCCAGGACACCTTCTTCTCCGCAATGCCGATGTTGCCACAAAGCTCTTTCACCCACTGGTCGAGCTGGCTCTCGATGTCCCAGTCTTTGATCATGTTACCTCACTGCGTTTTTTGCGCATGTCTTTTCCACATCATAGCCGTGTCATGCCGCGTCTTCGGCGTGCCCAGCTCACACCTGTTCCCTCCGACGGGGATTCCTTCGAGGATGGTGAATCCGCCAGGCGGTGGACAGTGGAAACGGTGGGGCGGGGATGAAGCAAGCCGGTGCTTGTGGGGCTCACCCTTCTGAAGTCCAGCAAGTATGAAGATGTGTGTGGCCTTGCTTTGGGCGGTGCATTATCATCTATGTTAAATGTTTTGAAGTAGAGGTGTGCTATCTGGGAGTGTTCTGGGCTTTGGTGTGCTGTGTTAGCTATATATGACCTAAACAGCCCAGAGCGTGGGGGTTCCGCAGCAAGTGTTCAACTTCCTGCAGGTCTCAACGTCTCATGATGGCTGTGTGGTCGTTCTCAGGATTTTGTGGTCATTCTTGGGGCGGTCTGCTGGTGTCTGTGTGTGTGTGGGTGTGTTCAAGGGGGCACAAGTTGGGTTTTTGGACTTCTCTGGGGCCGGGCGTCACGGCGACGCATGCCCAATCCGACCGGCCTGGCTCGTGCGACAGTGTTCTGCGGCATGTGATCGGAAGACCGGTGACCGGGCCCCAAACCGGGGCCGTGGGTGAGACTCAGCACGTCCCACACTGGATGAGACGAGATGTCACCCAGATGTCACCGAGTGGCAAATGTTGATGAAGGTTCCTGAGAGCACAAAAACACAACAGCGGCCATGGGAGAGGGCACTGGACACTGGCCGTGTGAAGTGCTTTCTTGGGATTTCTGTAGATTCGTTCATAAGCGGAGTCCAATTGTTCAAAAAAGGGGGATTGCATTTGGGTGGGGGAAAGCTCCCACCCCCCCAAAAATCATGTTGCTCGGAGCTCGTTTCCTCCCAGGACTTGTGACTCCACCACTCCTGAACCATTTGAAAGCTGCCCAGGTTCCAATGTAGATCCTGAGGGTGTTCTTGCCATCGATGTTTTGCGAAATGCGTGGATCTAGCCGATCTTTGATACTGGCAAACTCCTCGGTCCATCACCCAAGCACTGCCCATGCACCACAGAAACCTTCGCTCGCAAAAATGAATCCTTCGATTTGATGTGACTTAGGACTTAGGCCCAGTGATATCCCAACAATTTGGAGAAATTCGGCCCAAATATGCCTTTAGGCCCTTTTTCTGCTAGTATACTTAATGCATGTTATATATTACTATACTGTCCTTGCACATGACGCTCAAGGCACTGATGACCAGATCTGAAACGGTCAACCCTCACGTTGTTGCTTTTTGCAATATGTTTGCATCTCTAGTCCCCCACGTCTTCCTCGCTGGAAAGGAGTCACCCATGCAAAACAAGGCGAGAAAGCGATCGAGACACCCAAACAACTGATCACGGAGATGAACACTCGGAGAGTTGAGGTAAGTTTATGTGCCATGTCACCAAACATAGGGCAAGGAAACCGGCCTTTTGATAGCTATACGATGCTATACGCAATTGCTATCGAGTTCCAAGCGTCCAAACTCATGAATTTATCTGATTTATATATGGCCCATCCTGTTCCCACCACTCACAAGTGTCAAATGGATTCGCTAGGCCCTCGGAAACACCCCATCAGCACAGGCTGCTCCCTCGTTCCTCCGACCGCGAACGGGTAGTGGCTCGTCCCGTGGCTCGTCCCGTGAGTCTTCGACTCATCCGTCGACTGGTCCCGTCCCAACAGCCAGGCGTCGGGCTTCTTGCACATCTTGTAGATCTGCGGCACCGCGCCCAACAGGCCGATGCCCTGCTGCAGGGCGCTCAGCGTAAATTGCCATCGGAGCTCCTTGCGCTCCAGGAGCGGGCCGCCACTGGCCTGGCAGCGGCAGAAAGCACCGAAGGCACATCCGAACAGCCAAATTGGGGGACCAAGGAATAGTAGAAATGCTTGCTACTCGGTCATGTGAGCAAGTCACGTGTCAGTTTCCACCCGGCATGCTCAAGCAAGCACGAGCATGATATCAATCATGTGGCCTTTGGATATGACCTTCGGGTCACCCGGACGTTTGTGCTAAGAGCCGGATTCTGATGTGACACCGTCGTGTCGTCGGGACTGGCTTGACCGTGACGAAGGCGGAGGCTTCCGTTGCCATCCCAAAGTGCACCAAAGGCAGTTCTGGCTTGCCAGAACTCCTGTCTGAAAAACAGCTCCAGTCCCGGCAACCAGGCGTTTTAGCTTTCTTTCATATTATGGTGGCCCGCAGCATGAGCCCCTCATGATCCCAAACCACACACGCCAGTGTCCTTAGGCTCAACTGAGCACCAGACAGTACTCTTGGTCTTGGGAAAGCAGCTGGAAGTTCCAGCAGGTTTTGGGTGGGTTTGCTCAGTCGGAGTGAAATCCGCCTTTGAGCCGCCAGATTTCGGTCCCCCCAACGCGGTCCGTTCCTGGTACTCCTTGATGAAGCAGTCCAGCAATGCATCTAGGTTCGCATTCAAGAAGTCCTGAAAGGACGTGGGTTCGTGCATGAAAACAGCAATGGAATTGCCATTCAAGGTGGGTGGAAAGACCTTCTGGATGAATACCAATAGCATCGAATCAAAAGGACTTAAACGATCCCATACTGATACATACTGATACTACAGCACCTTATCAAATCAATATCGAAAGAATGTCAAGGCCCATGAAGGTCGACCTGCTTGAGCCATCTTGACAATAGCTTGCCACTTGGTCGCAAAAACGTCTACTTGGAATCAACGCCAGGTGTCAGGTGTTTCTTTTCTTCCACCTCCACTCCGTTCAACCGCGAAACGTAAGACGTTCCGCTCATGAAAGAAGATTCGCTTTTTGGACCCCCGGCCCCCCAAAACCGGCAGCTTGCACACCAGGCGTCATATTCGCAACAGTAAAGCCACCACCATAGCTTCCAGCCCAGTGAATCGGTTCGAGCGCCTCTCGCGGCGGGACCAGACCGCGACGCGCTGAGTTCCGCGCGGCGCGACCAGGCACGAGGGGAACGGTCGACGCGGCTCGAAGGTCGCCCCATTTGGATCCCGACTATTGTAACGTGTGGGGCGTCCAGGGCCAAAAACATCTCCAGTCCATTGGCTCACAAGGTTTCCCTGGTTTTTGCACATCAGCCATGATGCCTCTCTCACTCTTCCTAAACAAACTCGGGCCGCGCACCGATGGACAACTACTATATATATATATATACGACAGCCGTCTGAGCATACCAAATCACCTAGGACCCCTGGGGGCCAACCCCATTTTAGCCTCCAAAGTGCTGATGAAATGGGGGTCCAAGATTTCAATATTTTCGCATCGTTTTCCATTTCCTGGGTAAATTGAGAGGTGCCAACAATTTCAGACTCTAGAAATCTCTGTATCGAGATTCAGCTCGCACACCTGATTTGCAAGGCCTGGTCAACTCTCAATCAGCTGCAATGTCAGCCCCCCTAGATTTATTTTTGCGCCTGCTTCTGGCTCTTCTGATTTGTCATTGTCTGGTGCGACTCTGTACGTGAGAGGATTAGTTGCAGTCTCCATACGACTTGCAAGTGAAAAGTTAGGAGAAAACTTGGAGTTGGCCCTTACCATTCTTTTCATGTGTCAGTATTTGTCCTCTGTCACCTTTGAGTTATGTTGGAATGATGCAAGAAGTTTATTTTCCAGGATGCTGACCTGTTTTTC